AACAACTGCAGAACATAGAATCTTCTCAAGCACACTTGGAACATTCTCTAGGATAGATCATGTATTAGGTCAAAAACCAAGCCTTGGGCTGGGCTTCTGGCTTAGCAGTAGAGTGCTCACCTAGCACGTTCGATTCTCAGCACCACATAAAAATAAATAAATAAAAATAAAGGTATTGTGTCCAACTACAATTTAAAAAAAGAATAAAACCTTAAAAAAAAAAAGTCTTTACAAATTTTAAAAGACTGAAATCATACCAAGTATCTTTTCCAACTATACTGGAATGAAAATAAAAATCAATTGTGGAAGGAAAAGTGGAAAATTATAAATATGTAGAAATTGACTAATGTGGGGGATAAATGGAAGTACATGTTTGTAACCATCTTACATTCTCCAGTCTTCCACTATTCAGGTAGCATAGTATTGTTTAAAGAGTGACTGTAATAAATTAAAGATGCATACTTTAAACAACCACTAAAAACAAACAAGTAAGTAGAATTAATAATTGTGGGAAAATGTTAATACTAAAAAAAACAATTTTTTTAAAAGGCAGGAAGAGAGGAAAGACTAGATAGACAAACTGAAAACAAAAAGGAAAAGTAGTACATTTAAACCCAGGCTCATTAATAATTACATTAACTTTCTGCAATGGTAGAAATATTCTACRTCCACACTGGCCACTACAGTTACTACTACCCACATGTAGCTATTGGATACTGGAAATGTGGCTAGTGCGACTAAGGTAATAATTTTATTCAATAAATTTTCATTAACATGTAAATAGCTCCCTGTATCAAGCCAGCAGTTACCACATTAAACAATGCAGGTATAAATATTCCAAGTAAAAATAGGTATCATCAGACTGGATTAAAGGGCAAAACACAAACACCACTATCTACAAAATATTCAAATTAAATATAAAAACAGTAGTTTAAAGGACAGAAAAGATAAACCAAAGAAAGACTAATCTTAAAAAGTTGAAGTATCTATGTTAGTATTTTAAAAGTATACTTCAGAATAAAGAACGCTACCAGAGCTAGAGATGAATATTTAATAACATGTAGTCAACTCATCAAGAAGATAAAACAATCCTAAATGTGTATGTACCTAACAAATGCACTTCAAAATACATAAAGCAAAACATGAGAGAAGTAAAAGGGAAAAAAAAATCAATGAATCCACAATTACTGTTGGAGTTTTCAACATCCCTCTCTTCCTACAGTAAAGAGAATCAAAAGAGAACAATTTAAAGATCACTATCAACCAACCTGACCTAACTGACATACATAGAATACTTTCCAATAACAGCAGCCCAGACATCCTTTTCAAATATACATGAAACGCCAGCCACCAAGAGCACTTGATGGACCCTTCCGTTCTACTGTCTATATGTCATCATAGTGCCAATACCAGAAAGAACTAGTTTTGCCAACCATGCTAACAAAGGCCTATAATTTAGTGACTTGGGAGGCTGAGATAGGCAAAATTGGCACTTGCCTGTCTCAGCCTCCAAAGTCACTCAAATTATAGAACCTGCCTCAAAATAAAAATTAAAAAGAGCTGAGGATGTGGCTCAGTTGGTAAAGTGACCCTGGATTCAATTCCCAGTACCACAAAATTAAACAAACAAATGTCAAAAGTGAATTTAGCACAATCACATAACAAGAGAGCAATATAAAAAATTGTTTCTGTTCAAGGTCTATACAGTGAAAACTAAATAATATTGCTAAGAAAATTGAAAAGCTAAAAGACGAAGAAATATACCATATTCATACATTGAAGATTCAACATTGTTAAAATGGCAATTCTCCCAAATAGATCTTTAGAGTTARTGCTATCTGAATGAACATTCCAGCAGGCTTTTTTGTAGAAATTAACAATCTGATTCTAAAATGTATATGAAGATGCTTTTCAAATGCAAATATACTAAAAGCCTAAACACAGAGTCAAAGCAGACTTACAATGCGGGATTCCAAGACTTACTACAAAGCCACAGTAACTAAGACTGTAGAACTGGCACAAGGATGACATAGACAATAGAAAAGGGTCCAAAAACAGACCCACACATGGTTTAACTGGCACCACATTAAATGAATGGTAAGAATGTTATCTGATGATAGAAATGTTTGCTATCTTAAATTACAGTCATTATATGCTGCATGTACATTTGTCAAAACTTATTGTCAATTGTACATTTTAATGTGAACTTTTAATGTGAACTTAAAATGTACATATGATTTGTACATTATATCTAAATAGAAATAAGGTTAAAGTATAGTTAGAAATGAGCTCTCCATATTTATCTTGGTTATTAATGTGAATTTGGTCTTGAAGGAAAATAACATTTTTAAGGACTCATTATTTTCATAAGCATCGTTTTAAGAATTAATCATCAGACTTTTACATCTGAAGAAATATTGGCCAACTGCAAATTCACCCACTTAGTGGGGCTTCAAGAGTCAATATGAAGTATATCTCTAAGCCCATGTGGCTACCACTRTCATCTTTTTATTATGGTTTCTCTACAGGATGTTTTCCACTGAAGTTACTTCCCACTAAAACCATTGTTTTAAGCCTAACTTGACGGATTTTTAACTTTCCAAGACAAATCAACTTGAAAATAGAGGACAAGAAAGACCATAAACCTAAATAGTCCAGAAGATGGATGTCCAATTCCTAACTACCTCCTGTGTACTAAGTACCTCAAGCTTAGATTTGTTACATAAAAGTGCTTGGTGCAGGGGTGTGTAGCTCAGTGGAAGAGTATTTGCCTAGCATGGGCAAGGCCCTGGCTTCAATTCCCAGCATTAAAAAAACAAAACAGTGGGGCTGGGGATGTGGCTCAAGCGGTAGCGCGCTCGCCTGGCATGCGTGCGGCCCGGGTTCGATCCTCAGCACCACATACAAAGATGTTGTGTCTGCCAATAACTAAAAAATAAATAAATAAATATTTTTTTAAAAAATAAATAAATAAATAAACAGAAAAATAAAATCAAAATAAAAATGCCCATGTACTAAGCATTTCATATAATTCATAAAGACAAGGACAAATAAATTTTAATAAATAACTACCTTTTTTTTCTTTTTTAATTTGTTCTTCTTAGATATACATGACAGTATATTTTGACATATTTTATATATGTGTATATATATATATATATATATATATATATATATATATATGGAATATAACTTATTCTAATTAGAATCCCAATCTTGTGGTTGTACACAATGTAGAGTTTCACTGGTGGTGTTTTCATATATGAACATAGGAAAGTTGGGTCTAACTCATTCTACTAGCTTTCCTGTTCCCAACCTCCCTTCCTTCCCTTTATCCCCCTTTGTCTAAGCCACTGAATTTCTATTCTTCCCTCCATATCCCCTTATTGTGTGTCAGCATCCGTATATCAGAGAGAACATTCAGCTTTTGGTTTTTTGGAATTGGCTTTTTTCACTTAGAATAGTCTCCACATTCATTTATTTACCAGCAACTGCCATAATTCCATTCCATTTTTATGGCTAAGTAATATTCCATTGTGTATACGTATCACATTCTATCTATTCATCTATTGAAGGGCACCTAGGTTGGTTCTATAGCTTAGCTATTGTGAATTGAGCTGCTATAAACAATTGATATGCTTACATCACTGTAGTATGTTGATTTTAAGTCCTCTTGACTATATACCAAGGAGTGGGATAACTAGGACAAATGGTGGTTGGATTCCAAGTTTTCTGAGGATTCTTCATACTGCTTTCCAGAATGGTTGCACTAATTTGCAGTCCCACCAGCAATGTATGAATGTATCTTTTTCTCTTGCCAACATTTATAAATAACAATCTTTCCAGCATTGCAGAGCAGATAAGTGATAAGTCTATAATATTTTTCAGTGGTATAATTCTTAGTGGGCAAATTCAGACAGTCCTCCAACTTAACGTATGATGGTTTAAATCACAATTTTTTTACTTTACCATAATGCAAAATTGGTATGCACTAACTAAAAGACATACTTTGAATTCTAGTTTTTTTCCCAGGCTACCAATATGCAGTATAATACTTTCTCACAATGCTGGGTGGCAGGAGAGAGCCACTGCTACCAGACAGCCTCGAAATCACAAGGGTAAACAGGCAAAACTCTCCTGTGTGCTGYATTGCTATGATGTTAGTAGATTAGATGTGTTCAACCATCTTCAACTTACAAAACTTTTCAATTTGTGATGGTTTTACTAGGATTAATGCCATCATAAGTTAAGAAGCATCTGTATTCTTATTGTTATAGATTTTAAAATGTTAAAATTCTATCTCAAGCCTGTAATCCCAGAGGCTGGGGAGGCTGAGGCAGAAGGATTGCAAGTTCAAAGCCATCCTCAGCAAAAGTGAGGTGCTAAGCAGCTCATGAGACCCTATCTCTACATAAAATACAAAAAAAAAAAAAAAAAAATAGGGCTAGGATGAAACTCAGTGGCCAAGTGCCCCTGAGTTTAACCCCTGGTACCAAAATATTCTATAACAAAAATATTCTATCTCAATTACTACTTGGATGAAACATTATTCTGTTAAAAACAAAAGTTCTGAGATAGGCATGGTAATGCATGCCTGTAGTCCCAGCTGCTAGGAAGGGTGAGGTAGGGGAATCACTTGGGTCCCTGAGTCTGAGATCAGCCTGGGCAACATAGCAAGATTCCGACTCAATAAATAAAATTTTAAAAATAAAAATTCTTAAGTCTAACATCTAAAAATGCTTGACAAATAAAAGAACCACATATTGTAACCAAAATCTTTATTGGCATAAATACTATAAAACACAAAAATATCCAAGAGGAAAGTGGTAGAAAACTCAGGAACACTGTAAAAACTTTCATATTCAAGAGGAAAGTAGTGGAAAAGACTTTCTTAAAATCTCAGGACACCAGAGTTAAAAGTGAGAAATAAGTATATGTGCATATCATCAGCACTGAACTAACACTACTTTTAATAACTCACAGAATCAAAACATACTTACAGTTATGTGAACACTGAGGAATAATCATTGCAATGTTAAAATATTCAAAGCAAATTCCACATCGCAGTAAATCATCTATTCTCTGAAAGACAAAAACACATATATTCACATCAGAAAGACATAGAAATTGATCATCACAGAACTTTTTCTCTGCCCCCCTCACAAAAACAATTCAATAATACTTCTTTTTCAAATATACATATTCAGAAGCTAACTCCAGATAAACTGCAAGGGATCTTACAAATAGAGAACCCTACCCCCACCATTATTGTTACACATTCAAATATCAGGTTATCCAAATTGCTTTGGACAGACACTAGTGACACTGCACAGATTCCTGTGTCATGCTCATCCCTTTACAAAARGGCTACTGTGTTCCTGCTCTACTACCTGTATTCCAGTTCTTACTCCACCTCTTTAGACCCCATCCCCTGGCCTATGTGACTGTTGGGCAAAAGGTTCCATGAGTCACAGTCATCATACAGGTTAAGAGCCAGATCAGAGGCTTTTAAAGGCAAATATTAGAAAATATTTAGTTAAAACCCTTACTTTGCAAATGAGAAAACTGTACCAAAGCTGGCTCACAATGCTGGACATGAATCAAGATAGGATTAAAATTCCTGTCTTTCTACTAGTAGTTTAGTGCTTTATGCATGGTACAACATAGTAGAGACAAATGAAGAAGCCCTGGAAATACATAGGATCAGTGATAGCAGAAGGAGATGAAGAAGTAGACAATTTGGAATGTTAGATACAAGGGTGTCAACTTGGAATGCAATCCAAACAGAAAAGGATCTATTCTTGAAACCTAAAATTGTTTAAGCCATTTAAGTAAGGTACAGAGAGTATACATAGTTGCCACCTTCTTAAAAAGAGAAGGGTAAAGGGCTTGGGATGCAGCTCATTGGCAGAACACTTGTCTAGTATGTGCAAGGACCCAGGTTTGATCTTAGCACCAAAAAAATGGGGGGAAGGTATTAAGAATGTCTTCTATTTTATCATATATATTTTAAAACTTCTGAAAAGATACACAAGAAAGCAATAAATGTTTCGTAGGGATCAAGAAACAGAACAAATGAGGGGCATGGTGGGAGAGACACTTACTTTTCATTTTTTATGTATTTTTTTGAACCCTATGAATCTATCATGTAACTTAAGAACAAACAAAAAGGACTAATGTCATTACTAGTCCATATAAAATATTATGTAGCCATTAAAAACATGATTTCAGGTGCTGGGGATGTGGCTCGAGCGGTAGTGAGCTCGCCTGGCAGGCGCTGGGGCGCTGGGTTAGATCCTCAGCACCACATAAAAATAAAATAAAGATGTTGTGTCCACCRAAAACTAAAAAATAAGTTATTAAAAAATTCTCTCTCAAAAAAAAATGATTTCAAAGAATAGTAAATGCCACAAGAAAATTTCCCCATTTTAATGGACACCTTTTTTTTTTTTTAAGTCAGAAAACGAAATCTACAAAAATAACACAAAATAAGAGCAACTCTAGAGCTTAACCCTAACAACAGTAACATAGCACAAGTATCTCCGTTTTCAAAACAAAGCCCGCCAGACACAGTGAGGCACACCTGTAATCCCTATGACTTGGGAAGCTGAGGCAGGAGGATGGCAGGTTGGAGGCCAGCCTCAGCAACTAAGCAAGGCCCTAAGCAACTTAGTGAGACCCTGTCTTAAAATAAAAATTAAAAAGGGCTGTGGGATGTGAGCCAGGGGTAAACCCCCTCGGGGTTCAATCTCCAGTACGATTTAAAAGGAGGTGGGGATGCTGGGGTGGTGGCTTAGTGGTGGAGCGCTCACCTAGCACGAGCGACAGGCATGGGGTTCGATTCTAAGGACCACATAAAAAACAAATAAATAAAATAAGGGCATTTTGTGTCCATCTACAACTAAAAAAAAAAAAAAAAAAAAAATTTAAAAAGGGCGGGGTGGATAAGAGAAACTGTTAGGGAGGAGTTAGGCCACAGTGTGACTGGACTAACTAGACTGGGCTTGCCCCTAGTCAGAATAAAAGTGAAAGATTCTGTACAGCTGAGCACCCGCCTTGCTACGCGATGGTTACAACGTAATTAGAAGCCGGATGTGGCGGCGCAAGCCTCTGATCCTAGCAACTCCGGAGGCTGAGGCAGGAACACATGACGTTCGAGGCCAGTCSGAGAGAAACTTAGTGCGACTCGGCCTCAAAATAAAATATAAAAATAAAAATAAAAAGGACCAGAAAGGATGGGGCTCAGTGGTAGAGCGCCACTGGGTTCAGTCCCCAGCGCCGCAAAAATAAAAAAAAAATAAATATTATTTGACGTACTGTCCACCCCAAATCATGCCCGAGGTCGCTGTTTATAATATAGTGCTTGGCACACAGACAATTCCCTGAAAGGAGTAGCTGTCACTGTCGGTGTCACCACTTAGTGACTGTTTTTCTCCATGACACTGAATGTGGTGACAGAAACGCAGTGTGCCCGGTTCCTTAAAACGGCCAGCCTCGGTTCACCCTCAACGGCCGAAGCTTGCCCTCGTCACCGCTCAGSGGAGAAAACAGGCCGAAAGCCCAGCGTCAGGCTAGAAGCGGAGGAGCGCCGGGTACCCTGGCCCAGCCGGCAGTTCGCGCGGAGTCTTTTCTCCCACAAGGCGGGGCTGTCCTCCCACCGACAGATGGGGCCCCCCACGTCCCCGAAAATCTCACCTTCATCACTGCCAGGCCAGGAGGCCACCGAGGCTCAGCCAAGGTTTCCATGATCTCTCCTCAGGATGCCGGGGGCCCGCCTCCCACTGGCCTCCCGCGCTAGATTACTACTCGAAATTCCCCGCGCTACTGAGCTACGTCAGCAATTCGCGACGCGCCTGAGGCGAACGCGGAACCTGCCGGGAGTTGTAGTCATGGGTGGAGCGCTGCCGAAGGTTCCGGCATGGCGCATGCGCCAGACTTCTGGTCCTCGTCTTCCCGCGCAGTTGCGTGGTTAAAAATCTCATCGCCTGTTGAATATCAGAAAAAGACAGCCAGGAAACAGACCAAGGCCAGGCCTGTCAGATAGTTCAAAATGTAAGCCAATGCTTCCTCCTTCGCGTCGCCTTCCGTGATGGCTGTAATAATCTGTCCTACTCTGAGCAAGACATCTCACCCATGTCACAACTCTGGAAGGGAGGTATATTTGTCAGTTTGCACAAGAGGAAGCCCCTGCCTAAAACAGTGAATGGATCTGTCTCAAGTCACACAGTGGCGTTGAGGAGACTCCAAATAGGCCTGTGGGCTATATGGGCTTTAAATGGGAGCTCTTGCTTTAACTTTATTTATTTATTTATTTGGTAGTCATGGTGGTGCTATTGAGTGGAACCGACGGCCTCGTGTATACACGCACTCTACCCCTGGCTATATCCCTGAGCCCTCAAATTAGAATCTTAATTTAAAATTACTCCTTTTCTTCAGAGAGAACCACTGTTAGTATTGTACATAGCTACCAAATATTTCCTATGTAGACTAACAAAGATTCTTTGCCTGAACAAACTTTATTCAGACTCTTGAACTGATACCTCTGGTTATTGGTGACAAGTCCTGCTTCCCCACATGTTGAAGTTTGAACATTAGAGAAGCATGCAGAGGCAAGCATATGGGAAGTAGGGTTTATTTAAAAGGGGGTAACATAAATTTCTCGCAAGGAAGAAGGGGGTCATAGCTGGTACCATGGTATCCCAAGAGGTGAGGTGTTCTGCCCTTTTTATATGTCCTAGGCTTCCTTTGTTCTTTCACCCYTTATCTTTCTCCTTCCTGCATACTTGACTAGGCCCAGGAAATGCTTGCTGGGATGGCCAAAAGGTGGGAAATAGATGGGCTGAAGGAGGAAGGGCTGGGTGGAGTAGACAGGACACATTAACAACCTTATAGCTCCCAGTAGGGAGGGGAAATTCCAGGGACTGGTTACCTTGGCAACTGGTGGGAGCAGGAGCAGGTTCTTGATAAGATCCCTCAGGGGGCAGTCTTCAACTTCCCAGACTCACTCAAAATCGGCCTYCTTGACCCTACCTGACTCGATTTACCTATCTACACTAACTGCCTTTCTAATTCTGGCTTCAGAACCATCTCGCAGGGCCAATCCCTGTGCTTTGATAAAATCCACTTTTAGCAAAGAACCCTGTTAAATCGGTTTAATCAGAACCCCCATTGTTGACATCTTTTCATCCTATCTGATGGGTACCTTACCCTCCACCATCCCCTAGGTGATGCCTAATTGCCCTGGTCTGTCTTTAAYAAGAATCTTATTAGGTTGTTTTAACAAGAATCCTGTCTTACCCCTGATGTTTCTTTGCACTACTCCCCTCTCTGCCCCCTGGCTATAAATTCCCGTTTCCCCRGGCCACCTTCAGAGTTGAGCCAAATCTCTCTCCCCTGTTGCAGTGGTTCCTATACCTATCAGGATAGTCCTGAATATTTTTTTCTTTAATAAGACACAAACATAGATACTTTTTTGCCCACAAATGTTATATTAAATGCATACTGGCTGGACACACCTGTAATCTCAGAGACTTGGGAGACTGAAGCAGGAGGATGGCAAGCTCCAGCCCAACCTGAGCAATTTAGAAAGACACCATCTCAGGGGGAAAAAAAAAAGTAAATAAATAAAAATTTTAAAAATAAAATAAAAAGGAGGTGGGGATGTAACTTGTGACAAAGTRCTTACCTAGCGTGCAATAGACCCTGAATTAAACCCCCAGTACCAAAATAACAGAGAAAACTCTGGGGATTTGTTTATTTACCTACTTCCTTCAACATTTTGAGACCTCCCCATGTTTGTACATATAGATTGCATAATGAATGCACCTAAATGGGTGTTTGAACCCAGATCCCTAGGACACAGGGAGAGTCTCAAAGAGCAGAGCAAGAACCATTATAGACACAGAATTCTCACCCACCATCTGGTCTAAAGTGGCTATGGGAATGTTATAGYGAGACTGCAATAAATCCATCTTAAAGCAGGAAACAGAAACTTTATTTACCAGCCACCAGTCCAGATCCACCAGCTGGCAGGCCAAGGGGTAAGCTGCAAGTCTACACCCTTCAACCCCCTCCCAGGGTTTGAATACAACTTTTATAGTCCAAAATCATATTAATCATAAGTGGCTGTTGCTATGATTTAAAACCATAAACAAGTGTCATGAGATCTAAAATCATAAGCAGAAAAGGGAGTGGGCCAAAACGTCCCTAGTTGAGTACAAGTTAAAGAATGGTTACTGACATCTAGACAATCAATCTCTGACAGGGTACATTGTCCAAGAAAAATGGGAACCAAAGAGAGAACAATTTTACATTGTATAAGAATTGCCATTTTGTGTTGTCAAACATGCTATGCTAAGCAACTATTGATGGGTACAGAGGCAGGGCTTTCCCATGGGAGAAGCATTTCTTACAGGATGTAGAGTCTCAGGGAAACATGGAATCTGTTTGGTCATTACCCTATAGCTTGGTCCATAACAGGAACCACAATTGGGAGCCACACAGACCTAAATTTGAATCTATGATCTGTCACCATGCAATTTGGGGTTTCTAAGCCTTATTTTCTTCTTTTGTAAAATTGTGATGATAATGCCTACCTTGGAGGGCTATTATGATCTTTTTAAAATGCTGGAAGATGCCTAGCAGAGTGTTTGACATCAAGCAAGTGGCCATCCATGGCAGTAGTAGTCATAGTTGTCATTATTAGCAATTATTCTCCCTAATAAATGTTATTAGCCAGAAGGCAAAGAGATTATCCCTTCAGAGCTAGTACCTTTAATCTCCAGGAGTCTAAATCCCAGCTCTACCACTTGCCATGTGCAAATATGGTCTCTAAATATGGTCTCCAATAAAAGGAATCAAGAATGATTGGAGAAATGGCTGCTTTTAGATCTTTTTAAATGAAGCAGGGGCAGGGGCAAGATGAGCCTGGAGCATCTAATTGTGCCCCAAATAAGGAAGTTGTCAAAAACTAGCAGATGCAAGAGCCAGCTTAAAGTTGCTCTCACATTGAAAAGAACATTGATTGCATCTGATTTAAATATCCTGAATTTTTTTTTTCAGTACTAGGTTTTGAATCCAGAGCCTTTTGCATGCTAGGCAAATGCTGTACCATTGAGCTACATCCCCAGCCCTGTTTATTTTATATTTTGAGACAGGGTCTCAAGTTGCTTAGGGCCTCACTAAATTGCTAAGGCTGCCCTCAAATTTTAAATCTCCTGCCTCAGCCTCATGAGATTACAGACGTGTGCTGTCATACCCAGTGTCAGCTAGATCTTTTGAAATACAGGAGTTTATCATGAGTCTCAGCAGAAGAAAAGTAATCCCTCATCTACCACTGGAAGTAATTGTATCAGCTTCTCACTCTGAAAATTAACAAATGAACTATATTTCAGGGAAATCCTAGCCCTCTTTGAAGAGACTTTCTTGCTGGTAAAATTACAAAATCCCTTTTGTAACTCCTAATGAAATATTATTGTTCCAGCAGTGATCACCAATGGGTGGACAAAGGTGTTAGGTGTGTAGTTCTTGGGGAACTGGCTTTTTGTCAAGTTCCAATTTATCAGGCCACAGCTCAATGTGGGAAGAGTAGCTTTTCAGTGGAATAATGAGGATGATTTCACCTGAACCCCTTGATCAAACTGACCATTTCTAGAAGTGGACATCAAACAGCCTGTGCCCCCTGGTATGATATAATGCGAAGCATACCAAAAATGGTGGAACTAAATCTAATCATAGTTTTCAATCCAGCTTCTGGTTCAGAAGGCACCAGGAGAGGTCAGCACCAGCGGATTAACAACCTGAGGAAACCTTCTCCCAGAAAACAGGCCAGAGGGCAGCAAGTCAAGAGCAGGGGGCACTATTCTAGAAAGAGACCCAAGAGCTGTAACACCTCTTATGGTCTCCTTTGGATCCTGATTTGAACAAACCGACTTTTAAAAGACATTTTTTAAACCATCAAGGAAATTTGAATATGGATTAGGTCTTAGACTGAGACATTAACATTTATTCTAGTCATTGTGATAATGAGGTTGTAATTATGTAGAGAAATATCATTATCAGAACTGATGTGTTCCTGGATGAAATGTCATCCTACAGGTGATTTATTTTAAATTAAAAAAAAAAGACAAAGCAAACTTGGAAAAAATTTAATTGACTATTAAATCTCGATGATAGACAATGGTTAATTATACTATTCTCTTTCTCTATAAATTTGATTTTTTTCCATCAAAAAAATAGAGGCTGCTTTATCACATACCAGCCAGAGCAGAACAACTCCTTATTCATCCCAGTTTGATTTATGATTTGTACCTATGCCTGATTCATGTTCTGAACCAGGAAAAAGAAAAAAAAATTGAGACTGGAGGTTTAGACCAGGAACAGAGTGCTTGCCTAGCATATATGAGGTCTATATATATATATATATATATATATATATATATATATATATATATATATATATATATATATATAGAGAGAGAGAGAGAGAGAGAGAGAGAGAGAGAGAGAGAGAGAGAGAGAGAGAGAGAGAGAGAGAGAGAGAGAGAGAGAGAGAGTTATGTATATGCATATGTATGTATATGCTTACTCTGGCTGCTATCTTAAAAGTGGCCACATTGGGGCAGCAGAGCATCAGGCTACCTGTGCGCTCAGGCTTTGCAGAGGAATTGCAGATGGGCAATCACCCCATTCAATCATAATTCATTTATTTCTTATCCTCTGGTTTAACTGAATTTTAATGAGCTCTGACTACATTCACGGTATTGTGCTAGACTT